CTTTTTAGATGTTAAGTATGTCCACGCAGGCCATCTTTTCAATTAATTCAGTTTCCTGTCTGACTTCAATATACATGTTTTGAGTTCCTAGGGTTTGCCAAGTGTTACGCAGATACTAGTGTGTGTGTGTGTGTGTGTGTGTGTGTGTGTGCTCGCGGCTTCCCTCCTCACCCTGAGACCTGGTCAGAGGGGAGGCCGACTACAGAGCCGTGCACCAGGGCAGCCTGCCCAGGCCCTGCTACCTGTCCTTGCTGCGTCCCGGCCGGCACTGCGTGCTGCTCACTGCTCATTGCCACTTCTGCCGGGCGATCAGAAGACTGGGGAGGAGGTAATGGTATTAACTATGAACTTAAAAACGTTCTTGTTTCCTATGCTCTTTTCATAAGGCACGAAAGAATTACTGATGTCCTTGATCAAAAAAATTACGTGGAAGAACTGAACCGGCACTTAAGGTGGGACTCACTCCTCTTGGCAGTGCTGCTCAGTGCCCTGTCACCATGTTATTTATAAAACTTGTTTTCGTTTCCATGTACATACAGCGCACTTTTCTCCAAGCCAAGAAGAAAGACTGTACTCATTCATTCTAGCAGCAGCACTGCTGTGTGCGCCCCGGAGTGGTGGTGCTTCTTCCTGATAGCCAGGTTTGGGGAGCCCCTGGCCTCTCTGTGCGGGCACACAGCACAGAGGGGTGAGGACACTGGCCCACACAGCTTTTTGAGCCGTCGGGCAGGAGGACGGGCGTGGGAGCCCCTGGCTGCCCACCAGAGGCTTGTGCTTGTGGACACAGGCAAATTGACCTTGGGTTTTTTATTTTCTCTGGGAAGCTGCTGCTGTGTTTCATGAACTCTCGTCTTTGGAGGTTTGGGCAGGGCGGTGGGATGGACTCTTGGCCTAATGTTTTGTAAGACACATTCTGTCTCTGAACCCCCTTCTAGAAAGTATGTTCACACTGCTCCCCAGGGAGGGCTCCATGACCCCGGAAGGCAGCAGAACAGACAGGCTGGCCTGTCCTTCCCACTAGACTTCAGGAGAGCCAGGCACGGTGGTACACGCCTGTAGTCCCACCACTTCGGCTGAGGCAGGAGGATTGCCATGAGTGTGAGGCCAGCCTGGGCTATGTAGTGAGTTCAAGGCCACCCTGAATTTCACAGCAAGAACCTGTCTCAAAAAGCAACAACCAAAAACACCAAATAGGCTTAGGGAAAGGCCACTCCGAGTCTCCCTAACCGTGCTGGGTGGCTTTTTTCTTTTTCTTTTTTTTTTTTGCGGGTTATTAAATTGTTCATTACAGGAACATCACCGTTTTGGGGGTTTTTTTTTTATTAATTGGTACATTTTAGGTATACAGTACGTTTACAGTTATCACTGGGTGCTTGTACCTGTACATGATGCATCTTGGTTCTTATGTTTTCCCCATTCCCTGTGCTCCTTTCATCCCCTCCACCCTTCCCTATTTACACAGACTTCGTTTCCATTTTTTTTTCTTTCTCATAATTTTTACTTTCCCTTCTTCCCTTTCCCCTCCTGCCATCCCTACCCCTTTGGACCTTTTCTTCCTATTT